GCTGTTCGTGACCCGAATTGATCGTGAACAGAAGCGTTCGTGACCCGAGGTACCACTGTACTTGAATTAAGGAAGGCTAAACAGCCCTTTGTCCGCCCTCCATTCAAGGCACACTCTGAACGTAAGGATCGGGTGTGGGATGAAAGAGGGGCTCCCACTGAGAAAGCCACCTTCCTCCACTTACCAGGGAGGCTCCATTCCATGTTGCAAACGCCTCTTCAAAAACATCCGTTCCAAATTTGGCAGGTGCCCCCCCGCCCCCGGTTCTCACTCTGGCTAAAAGCAATCCTTTGGATGATACCACAGAGGCGTTTCCAGGGCCCTACGCTGGCCTGGTTTCCTACACTAGAGCAGCTTTTCCTCCTGGGGAAGGGGTTGTTGGAGACCCTGAGGTGGAATGGGCTCCCTGCTTCCATAACAGAACTTTCTTAACATGGCAACTTTGGAACCCGGCTGACTGTTGCATCACCTCTTGTTCCGGAGGAGGGCTGGGATTCTCTTGGCTCCGCGGCGGCTGGACCTCTCTTTGCAAGAAGCCACTTTGCACCTGTGTTTCTGAGCTTGGGCAAGCACAGGACAATGGTAACAATTGAGTCAGAGTCAGATTTCTATGACGTTTTTGAGATTCTGGGGAAGGGCACGTTTGGGGAAGTAGTAAAGAGCTGGAAACGGAGTACTGGGGAAATGGTAGCCATAAAAATCCTGAAGAATGACTCTTACCGCAGCAGGATTATCAAGAATGAGCTCAAGCTGCTGCAGACCATGTCTGAGGTGGATTCAGAGGAATCTCACATTGTCCAGTTCCACGAGTTCTTCCACGATGAGCTCAAGTTCTACCTGGTCTTTGAGCTGTTGGAGCAAAACCTCTTTGACTTTCAGAAAGAACACAACTTCTCCCCTTTGCCGGTCCGACACATTCGCACAGTGACCACACAGGTGCTGAGGGCCCTGGCCAAGCTGAAAGAGCTGTCGATCATCCATGCGGATCTGAAGCCAGAGAACATTATGCTAGTGGACCAGGTGAGATACCCCTTCCGAGTCAAGGTGATTGATTTTGGATCGGCCAGCATCTTCAATGAAGTGCGCTATGTGAAAGAGCCCTACATCCAGTCCCGATTCTACCGGGCGCCGGAAATATTGCTGGGGCTGCCATTCTGTGAGAAGGTGGACATGTGGTCCTTGGGGTGCGTGATGGCAGAGTTGCACCTTGGCTGGCCCCTCTATCCTGGGAACAATGAGTATGACCAGATCCGGTACATCTGTGAGACCCAAGGCATGCCCAGACCTTCCCTTCTGAGTGCTGCCCGAAAGGCCCACCTCTTCTTCAAGAGGAGTCAGCACCCAGAGGTGGTGAACTCCTGGCAGCTGAAAACCCCAGCAGAGTATCTAGCAGACACCAAAGTGAAGTCTGTGGAGAGGAGGAAGTATGTACTGAAGTCCCTGGACCAAATGGAGACAGTGAATGTCCACAAGATGATCTACCCAGACACAGAAGCCTTGGCTGAGTATTTTGATCTCCGGAGCATGGTGGAGCTCATAAAAAGGATGCTGACATGGGACTCTCACGAGCGCATCACCCCGAGTGCAGCCCTGAAACACCCCTACATTTCCACACAACCCCTGAAGCAGAACTACGACCTTACCCAGTACTATCAATTCTGCCTGAGGAGCCTCCGTGAGTCGCTGCCCAACCAGGGTAAGACTTCAGAGGAGGAAACACAGCACTACAGTGCCATGGATGAGGAGCGCTTCTACGCCAGCAAAGAGTCCTTCAAGGAGGAAAGTGCCCATGGCATTCAGAGGACCACCAGCCAGATGGACGAGCTCAGCATTGCCGAAGCCAGTCGGGAGGTGCCTCTAAAGGTGTGGGGTGAAGGACCCAGTGGGGGAGGCTATGAGCCTCTCCCTGACCCAGCGGAGGCAGCGGTGAGTCGGCACAGGCTGGCCCACCAGAACCTCCGGTTGCGCCACGAACAGGCACAGCAGGAACCAATCCCAGCCTACTACAGAAGCCGGCCCAGCAGCCCGAAGCACCACAAGACATCCCACCACGCAAAGCCAGACCCTGCCTTTGAAAACTTGATCCTTCTGGGCCAGTACACCCCAGAAGATGCCCCCAGCTGGGAGAAGGAGAGCAGCGCCAGCGCTGCTTCCCTGCCGGAGTCCAGTGCCCGGGAGGAGGCAGGCTACCCCACAGGCCTGGTACTCTCACCCACCGCACAGGTGAGTAACAAGGGCTGCCTGTGGCACGCCTCAGAGGAGAAGTGAGCCAAGAGGCCGCTCGTTCGGCAGGGGGCTGGATCCCATGGAACTGCAGATGGCAGAAGCCTCTCCAGAAAGCTGCCCAGCCTAGCCAGCTGGCTGATTCTGAGCTGACTGATGGCATAAATGAAAGAGTGTGGGGGCAATGGCCGAGGTGGCATGAGTGGGGCCTGGGGGCAGGACTGCGTGAAACATGGAAGGGTCTGCAGCAGCCCCCCTCCCAAAAGGGTACCCCCCGAGGGGTGGCGGCTCTATGTTTTCTAGGCTGCCCACAAAGCTGCCTCAATACCCCAAGTCCACAGCTCTCTTTCACATGTGCTCACGCACCTCCTGAGCGTCTCTGGGAAAGGAGCATGCTCATCCCTCCCCATCTTCTGCAGATCGCCAAAGCCAAGAGGAAGCGTGCCTGCCTCCCTGCCTGCCTGCCTTACCCCCCTGCATGTCAGCCCCCTTGGGGGGCTTCCAGGGAGCTATGGGAGCAGCAGCAGTCATGGCAGGCAACCACAGAGGTCTGCACACCCCAGGCTCAACAGCGCACCACTCGCTTCAGAGAAGAGGAATACACCACAGCTACTCTGTGGGTGGTTTTTCTGTTCATTTGTTCCTGCAGCCCCCCTCATCCCAGGGCCTTGTGGCTGATCCAACTCATCTTCCAGGAAGTTTGGAAAAGTTTTCTCTTGGTCCCTTCAGATCCTTGCTGGGTTCCCAGCAGCCTGGGCCCATATGGTTTGGAGAGGAGGTGGGTGGGTAGAAGCAAAGTAGTGGGAAGCCCAATCAGTCTTGGCACAATTATGGTGAAGAGAAAGATGGCAGGGGGTACAAAAGCTGACTTGGTTCTGGAAACCCTCCCAGGAACCCAAGCCCCCCCCCCCAGTAACCTCTCCAACTCTGCAAGGGACCTTGCCATAAAGCTCTCATTGGGCAGGTCTCTGTCCCCCCATATACTCTCTCAGCCCCTCCCTGGACCCCCTCCCCTCTCCCTTGGTCTGAGTCTTTAATACTCTGTTTCTCTTTGGCAGCACGTGCAGACTGAGGTCTTTGAGCCAGCCATGCCACTGCCCGGGCCCAACCCCTGGCTGCCGAGCGAAGACTGGCTGGCAGAACATGGCATGGAAAGAGTCCCCCTCAAGGCAGTGCTGCATGCCCCCCGGAACCGTCACCAGCTGCAGCCATACCTGCAACATGTTGCCAGCCACCATTAGCCCCAGACCCTCGACCAGGAAGAGGGCAGGCGCAGCAGAGAGATGGCCCACCAAGGCCCAGACAGATTCCTTTCTAGACATTAAATATATAGACTGTTCCTCGCTGCCCAGCGCCACTTACTTAATAAAAGCCATCTTGCTATTACTGAGATGTATGGAGCCCTGATGGCAGACCACAGGCTGACCAGGCCGGGGGAGGTGACAGAGTGGGGCGGGGGCTCTAAGCAACCACAGTCAGCCCGCTGGTCTTTCCAGGCGCCGAGGGCACCACGGGCAGGCCAGCTGATCTCCCCAACAAATCCAGGTTTCACGCGGTCTACTGCATCGTTAATAAACTCATTATCACTTACAGACTGCTTTGACGGCATGTTTGTCTAGGGACCCGTCTACACCTCCACCCAGACTTGCCTGCAGCGGGTGGCCTTAAGGCAGTTCAGCGGGCGGAGGACGCTTTACTGTTACAGGGAATATCAACAGCAGTCATGATGAGAACCTGCGGGGCTCTCGTGGGGAGCTGTTCTGGGGAAGAAATGATGGGGGGAGTGACAGCAGGGGCAGCACCTGGTCGGGCGGGTACAAGCTGCCCTGGGAAGCTGAAAGCAAAACCTGTTCTGGAAGGAGAGGCAGGACCACCCCAGGCTGGTCCCTGAGAAACCTGCATGGAAGTAGGGGAGGCTTTTCCAGGGGTTCTCTGCTGGCCCACCTCCTCACTGTAGCTTCCTTAGGGGAGAGCAGGGACAGACTCCCTTGGCAAGCCCTGTTGCTGCAAGTGGCTGGCCGGGGTTTTCTGGGGCGCCTCCGGGTTGGCCCCAGGAAAAGAGAATAGGCCAGGAGGCCACGGCCTCGGCCTGGCCACCGAATCGGGCCCCGAGAGGAGGAAGCGAATGTTTCTGCATCGCGGGAAGGCCGCTGCCTTCCTTTCCTTTCCTTTTTCCTGACGATCCAGCTTCGCCAGCCAGGCGCTCGCTGGCCCCCAAGGCGCCCGGACGGAAGCGAGTGACCTACTTGTCCCTTCCCCAGGTAGGCGCAGTCCGACGCAAATCCCCACCAAGTGTAGCGCAGCTTCCTCCTCCCAGGACAGCGAGCCCGAAAAGCGGTTCAGGTGCGTCGGGGGCGAAGGCCAACGGCCCCATCTCCCGGCTCCAGAGGAAGCTTCCGCAAGTGGCGCCGGACGGACTGGAGGGGGCGCCTAGCCGACGGTAGAGTCCTTCGGTGTCACCGGAGCCAACAGCGGAGGGAGCCAGGGACGGCGGCACCCCCGCCACCGCCCTGTGGGGAAGGAGGCGCAGCTGCGCAGCGCCGTGGTAGAGCTGCCACTAGGAGGCGGCAAAGAGCTCTAACTGTGCGGCGCTGCCCTCTGGAGTCGCGCCGGATCTTTGCAGGCTCGGAGCTGGCGGGTTCTCGGAGATAGGAGCAGACCGGCGGCGCCGGGTTAGGGTCAGGGGTAGGGTTTCCGCCGCTTTCCAACGAGAACCGGAGGGTGGAGCAAGAGGGCGTCCGGCGCTCCGGGCAAGGCGCGAGAGTGCCAGGCAGGCGGGCAGCGTTCCCCACGGGAGATTCGCCCGACGCGGCACTGCACTCCAACTCCCAGGATTCCCAGGAAGCGGGAGGGATGTACCATCAGGGCATGGGGGGGTCGAGTCGAGCTCGACAGAGTTCCAGGGTCTTGACCGCCTTTGCCCCGCGTCTGGTCCGAGGGAA